CAAATTATTTCTGCTTTATAACCTTAAGGACCTCTTTTGTTTTTTGAATTTCCAATCGAAATTGGTGTTTTACACTATGAAAAAACACTATTATTCTTATGCACACGAAGTGTGTATGCCAAATTCAGAGCATGCTACATATTTCAAGCTGGACTTTTGGCTAAGAAGGATGAATGGTTAGTATAATTGTTCGTCTTTTATTTATTTATTTATTTCCATATAATTGACTGCTGGATTGTGGGAATTAGGAGCTATGATCAAAAGAGCTAGTTATATCTATTTAATTTACTGTAAACTTACTGAATCAAAGAAGTAATTTCTATGAACATTGAACAATATTTCTGTAGGGAAAAATGATAGAAAAAAGGAAAACGAAAAGAGTGAAAAATGGAAGAGAAAGTGTGTACAAATCTGATGAAGCAACCCTTATATACTTAGGGTTTGCAAGGACATAAAAGTAAATAACATATTAATACCTATAGTTGCTTAATGAGGGAATAGCAACTTTACATTGACTAACAACGATTATATATAAACTATTATAATGTTAATACCCCCCCGCAAGCTTAGTATGCATTTGTCAGGCATGGATATTGTGCATATTAAGCTTGGAAACAAGGTAGGAGAAGGATGGTCCTGGCAGTGCCTTGGTGAGAACATCTGAAATCTGCTCTTTGGTGTTTATGTGCTGCAGTTTGATAATCCCTTGAGCAACTTTCTCCCTTATCAAATGACAATCTATCTGTATATGTTTAGTACGCTCATGAAACACAGGGTTAGTTGCAATTGCAATGGCAGATTTACTATCAGATATTAATGAAACAGGAGCTGTATGAGGTAAATGAAAATCATCAAATAGGTATAAAAGCCACTGAATTTCACAAGTAGTGGATGCAAGGGCCCTATATTCAGCTTCTGCTGATGATCTACTCACAGTGGGTTGTTTCTTAGATTTCCAGGAGATTAAGGAATCTCCAAGAAATATAGAGAAACCTGTGATGCTTTTTCTAGTTTCAAGACATGAGGCCCAATCACTATCACAGTATGCTTTTAAACATAAATCAGATTTTCTGGAAAAAAGAAGACCCTTACCCACTGTACCTTTGATATATCTTAGCACTTTGTGAGCAGCAACCATATGTTGTTCAGTAGGCTTAGATAAGAATTGACTAAGTGTTTGAACACTATATGATATATCTGGCCTGGAAATGGTGAGGTATAACAACTTTCCAACCAATTTTCTATAAACAGTAGGATCAATAAGTTTGTCATTTTCAGAGTATGAATGAAGTTTCAAAGTTGGATCCATGGGAGTGTTAGAAGGTTTGCAACCCAAGAAACCTATTTCTGTTAAAATGTCTAGGGCATACTTTCTTTGACACATGTTAATGCCTTGAGGAGAGTGGGCAAATTCCAATCCCAGAATGTATTTTAAAGGCCCTAGGTCTTTAATAGTAAAACAGGAATCTAGGTGATTTTTGATTTTAGAAATAAGCTCCATATCAGTGCCAGTGACTATTATGTCATCAACATAAACTAATAATGCAATAAAGGAAGAATCTGTGTGCATAATAAACAGGGAATTGTCAGCAACAGATTGAATAAATCCAAATGCAATAAGACATTGTGTGAGTTTGTGGAACCATTGTCTAGAAGCTTGCTTTAAGCCATAAAGACTTTTAATTAGTTTACAAACTCTAGTGTCAGAAGGGTCACAATAGCCCGGGGGAGGTTTCATGTATACCTCCTCATCTAGATCACCATGTAAGAAAGCATTATTTACATCTAATTGATGGATATGCCAATTTTTAATGGATGCAAGTGCAACTAAGAATCTAACAGTTGTAATTTTTGCAACAGGGGAAAATGTTTCAAAATAGTCTATACCCTCTTCTTGGGTATAGCCTTTAGCAACCAGCCTGGCCTTATATCTTTCTAAAGTGCCATCTGATTTGTATTTTATTTTGAATACCCATTTACACCCTATGCAATGTTTATCCTTAGGTAAATCTGTTAGAATCCAAGTATTAGTTGCTTCAAGAGCATCAAGTTCTTTTCTCATTGCTGCTTGCCAAGCAGGATCCTTGGCAGCTGCTGAGTAATTTTTGGGCTCAGTTTGAAGTGAGATGGATGCAGTATAGCATGAATGATGTGCAGATAAAGATTGAACTGATAAGTATGATGCAATGGGATGTTTTGATGTTCCAGGTGTGCAGTCTGAAGAAGAAACTGTGGTAGAATTAGAAGATGGTAAGGCATGGTGATATATATTAAGGTAGGCAGGTGGCCTTGTAGTTCTTTGAGATCTTCTTCTTGGAGAATGACTTGGTTCATTGTTGATAGGTACTGAGTGATTGGAATTATTTGGAATATTAGTAATGATGGAGGGTATGTTTGTAGAAGCTGGTGGAGGTAAATTTGGAGAATCTGGTGGGATATTATGAGTAGGGATATGTTTCTGATTAGCTGAATTATTGAAGAAAAATGGTTCTGGTTCAGGAAATAATGTTTGTGGGATATCTGTGGCAGTAGGGGTAGCAAAAGGGAAAACAGTTTCATAGAATTGCACATTCCTGGATATTAATGTTTTCTTGGATTCAAGATTGTAAAGTTTATAACCTTTACAACCTATAGGGTAACCAAGAAGTATGCATTTATGAGCTCTAGAATCAAATTTATGTCTGTTTGCAGTAATGGTAGAAGCATAACATAAACAACCTATGACTTTCAAATGAGAATATGTGGGCTGTTTGTTATAAAGAATTTCAAAAGGAGATCTGTTTTGAAGAATGACAGATGGTACTCTATTTATGATATGGGCAGCAGCCATTATGCAATCAATCCAGAAATGCAATGGTAATTGTGCATGAAATAGAATGGCCCTAGCAACTTGTAAAAGATGTTGATGTTTCCTTTCTACTTTGCCATTCTGTTGAGGAGTTTCAACACAAGTGGTTTGATGAAGAATGCCTTTTTCAGTATAAAAATCATTCATGAAAAATTCTGTGCCATTATCTGTTCTTATCATTTTTATCTTCTTGTCAAATTGAGTGTTGACTAGATTGTAAAAATGAATGAGACTTGTTTTAGTGTCAGATTTGTTTCTCATAGGATATATCCAAGTAGTTCTACTAAAATCATCAACTATAGTGAGAAAATATTTGTATCCTTCATGAGAAGTAACACTAAATGGACCCCAGACATCACAATGGATCAATTCAAAAGAAGAAGTAGATTGAGATACACTGTTAGGAAAAGGCAACTTCTTTTGTCTGGCAAAGTGGCATACATCACATGGAATAGAATGCATGGTTTTACACATAGGAGTATGAATAGGAAGTTCAGACAATTTTGAGAATGACAAGTGTCCCAGTCTGTTATGCCATAGAACATTATTCATGAAATCATGCTTTACAGGTAAAGGAAAGGGTACATTAAAATTGCAGACAGAGGAAACATTAGCAGATATAAGATTGTTGTCAGGAGAATCAGCAGTAAGGAGATGATAGAGACCATCTCTCAATTCAGCAGAACCAATCACTTTGTGAGTGTTCAGGTCCTGTAATATGCAATATGATGACAGAAATTTGATTTCACAATTGTTGGTTGAGGCCAACTTAGAGACAGAGATCAAGTTAAAATGAAAACTAGGTACATATAAAGCATTTTGCAAGTACAGAGTAGGTGTTATATGCAGATCACCTATAGAGCATGCTTTAGTGATGTTACCATTAGGCATATTGATATTGATATTGGTAACAGGTGTTAATGATTGAAAAAAAGATTTATCACATATCATATGGTCAATAGCACCTGTGTCCAATATCCAAGCATTTTTAGTCAAACTTCTAGACACCACACAGGACAAGGGATTAGAAATACCTGAAGCAACAGGATAAGCAGTGGCCACAATAGGAGTTTGAATGGGTTCTGATATAGATTTTGTCTCCTGAGATCTTTTAAATGCTAGGAACTCATGAAACAACTCATTAGTCATGGAAGATACATCAGAATTAGTATTTTCAATAGGAGCAGAATGAGTGGCATGTAGCATGTTTGCAGCATGTTGGGGATGGAACAATGTGAGCATTTAGGTCTGGGTTTTTTGTCTTTGATTTGGTTGTCTCTGTTCTGAGTGTGTTTGGGATTTTTGAGAAAACTGGGGTAAATTTTGGCAAGCATAGCCATAGGATCAGTGTTTTGAGAGGTATTGTTTAAAGATCTTTGGGATTCTTTTTGGAGGAGCAGTGAGTATATTTTTGTAAGGCTGGGTAAAGGAGATGCAAGAAGGAAATGGCTTCTGAGTGATGCATATGAATCATGCAGACCAATTAGGAATTTCATAACACAGTCCTGTTGTTGACTTGTAGCCATAGACTCAAAAATGTTACAGGTGCAAGACGTGAATGCGCCACATGTACATCGAAAAATAGGCCTATATGTCATATACTCATCCCAGAGACCCTTAAATGCATTGTAGTACTGTGTAATAGAAAGTGAACCCTGAGACATAGTACTAAGGGACTTTTCTATTTGAAAAACTCGAGGACCAGTACTCATGGCATATCTATTCTTAAGTTCAATTCAGACATCATATGACGAGGTAAAAAACATGAGTGATTGCCTGATATCTTTAGAGATAGAGTTTAAGAGCCAGGACAACACTAAATTATTGGCACGGACCCAAGCGATATACAGGCTAGGGTTTGCAGTAGAAGAAGGGGACAGAAGTGTACCATCGATGAATCCTACTTTGTTTTTGACGCTCAACGCCATGAGGACAGCGCGCGACCAGGAAACATAGTTTTCTCCATTGAACGGTTCGGCGACAATGACAGCACCGGGATTGTCACTCGCATGGAGAAAATACGGAGAAGACGGATCGTCAGTCGGATTCTGAATCGCAGCCATAGATTCGAACAGATCTGAGTAGATCGTTGCCGGTTGATATCAGATAAAACGGAGATTGAATAGATTCGGGTTTTCAGAGATCGAAGAACCCTAGAGCGAAAAAAAAAAATTCTCGGAGATTGAGAATCGATCGAGAAAAAAAATCAAAAAATATCAGAATGATCAGTTGTGCGGAAGCGAGGATCGTTTGATGTCATCTGATACCATGTAAACTTACTGAATCAAAGAAGTAATTTCTATGAACATTGAACAATATTTCTGTAGGGAAAAATGATAGAAAAAAGGAAAACGAAAAGAGTGAAAAATGGAAGAGAAAGTGTGTACAAATCTGATGAAGCAACCCTTATATACTTAGGGTTTGCAAGGACATAAAAGTAAATAACATATTAATACCTATAGTTGCTTAATGAGGGAATAGCAACTTTACATTGACTAACAACGATTATATATAAACTATTATAATGTTAATATTTACTGACCAGACTATAGTTTAATTTACTGAGTAGACTATAGTCAGGCTTCACGAGATCATTGGGAATAAATTATTTCGATTTTGTCTCCCTGGATAAATTTTTTCATCAAAATAAAGGTTGGTAACAATAATCGACTATTCATCCAATACTACTTTTATTTGATCCCTAATCTTATTTAAACACTTATATAATAAAATTCGATTCAGTTATTACATACATTTTTCAGTCAAATATACTAATCTACTGATCACATATTTATAACTATCATTCATTTATATTTATTATTTTACTGTTTTTCTATCATAACAACTTTAATTATTACAATTTATCTCTTTCACATTCGCAATCTAAAAAAATTATTCCATTATTTTTTTCTATTCCAAAATTCACCTTTTTCCTTTCAAACATTTTTTTTTCAAAACTAATCTATATTCAATCACGCTGAAGAATTCGAATTACAGCAAATTAAACTAGAACCTAAATGCTATTGATGAGCACTTTTTTCTTCCTCACAGTTTAATATTTTCCCTTGAAAATATAGGATTATCGCTGCAAACTCAAAAAATCACCCGTCTCAGAATATATCCAAAACAAGGGCCTTATCTTTTTATGATCGAAATTTAAGATAAGGGCCTTATCTTTATTATTGTCGATGCACCGCATATTTTTATCTTTTTTTCTCCAACACAATATATCCAGAATTTTATAAACCTCATCATGCTGTAAATTGTAAATTACTTTCTTCCTCACAAAATGATTATCGCTGGACCTGTCACACGTGTCACTTTCTTTTTATCTGCAGGCAATATGTCGAGAATACGGGTTTTCAATATGGTCCATTTCATTGCCATAATTTTTATTTGTTTTGGTATTTCTACAAACAAATTAAATATACAAATATGTGGAACTAAAGAGGTTAAATGCAATAAAACTCGTTGGGTCGGCCCGTTTAGCCTAAAAAATTACAGGACTCGGTTCGTATTTCTCAATTAGTTGAAGTCATGGCTTTTTCTTATCCGGGCCGTTTAGTTTGAGTTTGTTAGGACTAACCTATAGATTAATCGATTAACCAGCTAGTCCATTTATAATTAATGGGAATAAGATTTTATTAACTTTACTTGTTCCTCATTATAGGAAAAATTTATTTTTATTTATTTTCATAAACATATGATACTCAACTAGCTATTTTATTCTAAAAATTTGTTATTAAACTTTGTAAATAGTCTTAAAAATGGAATAAAACTACATTTTTTTGTTATATATATGTATATGGAGAGACATTTCATATAGTTTTATATGAGATTTAATCAAATTTATATAAACAAATATGAAATTAAATGTTGTCTATGTTTAAATTTAAATTTTTGCACTTAAAATTGTATCTTTTAAAATTTTGATAAATGAACCGTTAGTATTCCATTTAGCCCCAACCCCGTATGATTAGAATTAAGTCTAGATATTACTTACTCATTAATTTAAATCATATTTTTTTTAATCTGAACAATTTTAGCCCAAAACTCGCTACGACTAGCCATTCAAACATCTCTATGTGGAACAATTCAATTAGACTAACTTAATTTCATATTGGATGTCAATACATGAGATTTTTCAAGTATACATTTTAATGCACTCAATTCAAATATTTCCTCAAACAAAACATAAGAAATTGACTAATATAAAAAAAGAGTTTGAGGTCGAAAATTGAAGTCCCACATCCAAACCTAATCTCCAACCCAATAGAGAAGCTGTGGTTTACCGTTTACCAACCTTTCGCTTTCATTATCCTCTTTTAAATTATTTAATATTCTTCTTACATGCATGCAATATATATAAAGGGACCAAAGTTCACGGCCAATTGCGCAATGTCGACCATTTTCGCCTCACAAGTCTTTATAACCCCAAATTCCGGCCACTTGAAAGTCTCCTTCCGCCCCGCAACCACCGCCAAACTCAATAACTCCGCCTCGACTCCGCCAAGTCTCATCCGGAAAGAGCCCGTTTTTGCTGTACCCGCACCCATTATCCACCCACTCTTCGTACGTGCTCGATTTTATTTTTTCCATTTTTTTAATAAATTATGTGAGGACGAAATAGATAAAAAGAAAAAAAATAAGTTACTGTTAGTTAGGCAGACCCGAGGGTTAAGTAGTCATATTTTTTCAACAAATAATATTTTACTTTTAATTTGAAATGTCATACCCATTTTCTACAAAAGAAATGTAAATAAAGGCATGTCATTTCATCACAGTTAAATTATGCGTTTTCGTTAGAAAAGTATGATAGATCGAATTATTGTCTTTAAGCATATTACATTTCATCATGTTTGCACTAACAATGTAAATAAAAGTACAACATTTTACAGTTAAACAATTATGCATTTTCGTTAAAAAAGTATGATGAATCGAATTACTGTTTTTAAGTATATTTCATTTCATATTTGCACTCACAATGATACGTATTTGTAGTAGTACTAGTTATTTTAATAGAAATTTAGTATTTATCCATTTCGTTAAATTGAATTATATATCTTTTTTTAAGGAATTTTTCTTTTTCCATTTTTTGCTAATGCATGAAAAAATCACAGAAAGAAGACATGGGAAAGGACGCGTACGAGGAAGCCATCGTTGCACTCGAGAAGCTTTTAAGGTTAAAAACTAACCACATCACAAATTCCATACTATAATTTTTTTTTTTTTTTGGGTTACTTTGTAAATGTCAAAATATAGTGATTATAATTAGAATTTATATTTCAAAGAATTAAATAGTAATATAATTAATCAATTTTTTTTCGCTGCATGCAGCGAAAAGGAAGACCTCGGACCAACAGTCGTCGCCAAAATCGGTGAAATCAAAGCTCAGCTGCAAACAGCCGAGGGAAGCGGCGGCATTACCGCCTCAGCCTCAGCCTCAGCCTCAGAGTCTGTGGAGAGGTTGAAAAAAGGCTTCATTCACTTCAAGAAAGAGAAATATGAGTAAGTGATCATTAAAACTGTTTTTTTTTTTTTTATTAAGGCAAAAATAATAATAATAATAATAATAATTAAAAGGAAAAACTAGAATTTGGGTGTTTTCTATTTTTGTAATTTACCGTGGTTCAAAATTGGTTCAATAATTCTTCAATTGTAGCTAATATGATCCAATTTCGATTCCAAACGCTAGAATCTGGCAGTTATTTGGTCCAAAATTAGCCATTTTGGTTCAATATCTCTAATATTTAAGAGTTATTGAATAAATTTTGGACCCCACTAAGTTATTGAGAAAAATGGAGAAACATTCTAAGTCAATGGACTAAAACTACAATTTTTTCATAATTAGCTTGTAAGCATATAGTAATAAACAATTTTAGATTCTCACACACATTGACTATATTTGATGAATTAGCTGAAAAACTAGTTGATATATAGCTGATAGCTCATGAATTAATTTAAAATATTTTCTAAATATAGCTAAAAATCTAGTTGATGGTTTATAAATTAATTTAATATGTTTGGTAAATATATACTTGACGGGTTTTGCTATGGAGCCAACAGTTGACTCCATAATGGAGCCAACCTTCTATATACATCAAATAAACCTACCATATTCATAAAATTATATTAGTGTTATTTAGATAATCAAAGAATATGGTAAGTTTATTTGATGTATATAGAAAGTTGGCTCCACTATGGAGCCAACTGTTGGCTCCATAGCAAAACCGTATACCTGAAAAGTAAGTTGATATTTGGTAATACATGAGAATTTAGAGCTTATGGTTGATAATTTATAGTCGCTTGTTGAAAAACTAACTAATATAATAAAAGTATTTTAATTAGTAGATAAATAAGTTGAAATTAAAATTTCAAATTACTTTATTTTAAAAAAAAAAAAATCCCTTTACAAGCTTATGACATAAAATCAATTTATTTTAAAAGTTATTTGAATACAAGAATCTTATAAGCAAACCAAATGATCTATAATTTAACTTATGATATTTACTATACACACTTATTTTCCCTTTCAGGAAAAATCCAGCTTTATACGGGCAACTCGCCAAAGGTCAGAGCCCCAAGGTAACAAAAACTTTATTTGCCTAATTGTTAAATAAATGTCTTTCTGCTCGATCTTGTGATAAAGTAATAATTAGAAATATTGTGTGTGTTTTTTAAATGAATACAATAAACAAGTTTTTTTATGTCTGCACAGTATATGGTGTTTGCATGCTCCGACTCGCGCGTGTGCCCATCGCACGTGCTCGATTTTCAACCGGGCGAGGCTTTCGTGATCCGGAACGTTGCTAACATGGTCCCTGCATATTGTCAGGTCTTAATTAAGAAATGTTAATTCATTGTTCTTCAGTGAAGGTAATTAATTAATTTAGATAAGTTTTTTATCAACATGGATTGCTTAATTTTTTATTTTTTATTTTTTGGTGGCGCAACAGACCAAATACAGTGGAATTGGTGCTGCCATTGAGTATGCCGTTCTGCACCTTAAGGTGAGACAGGCTAAGAT